TTTATCCCACGTTTGCCCATGTGCATTAACCGACTGGGTTTCGTCCATTTCAACCGTTCATACCTGCCCACTTTCATTGTGTGCATTCTCCGACTTCGAAGCATGCAATGCGGAAATAATGTTGGAAAATGCCAGAATAATGGGTTTCTCAATGTTGAGATAATGCTTTTTATTTGGTGGTTAGTAGATAGTGTAACTACAACCCATTCTAAACCTACCAGTTGGTAGGCTTAAGCCCAACTTAAGAACACAGCGTAGTAATGAAAACCAAAATAACTTGTGAGCTTTATAATAAGTAAAAACTAAATGTTCATGCATTTGTTTTGAACGGTTCTACGCTATAGGGTAACTTAAGTAAACTGATATACTCCTTCATTGGTAGTTTTGCATTACTCAGTAAATTCAGATTCAGATGATAAGGATAGAAGGCTCTTGTGGCCTGTGTTAATCCTTGCAAAGTATATCTCTGCAGAGATCTAACTTCTCTTTGAAAGCGTTCACCGATGGAGCTGATACTACTGAATCAGGTAAGGAGTTCCAATCGTTGACCACTCTGTGAGAGAATCTAAATTCTGCACGTATTTTAATCGTCCTTGGTTTGAGCACCTTTTTGCGGTGACCCCGTAAATGTATCCTAGAAGGGGAGAAAAGGTTAGAAAGGTCAGTTCCTAAATCACCCTTAAGTATACGGTATGCTAAAATTAAGTCGCCTCTCTTCCTTCGGTATGATAACGGGAAGAGATTTAAATGCTCCATCCTCTTATCATAAGGAAGGTGTGAGATACCACTAACTAATTTTGTTCCTACTCTCTGTACTCTTTCCAGAATATGTGCCTCCTTTTTGAAGCATGGACTCGTCGCTTGTATGCAGTATTCTAGATGAGGCCTGACATATGTTGCGTAGAGTATTTGGAACATGCCCTCGTCTAATCGTTTGAAAGCCCTTCGAATTGCCCATAGCATTCGAAAAGCTTTAGCTGCGGCTGCATTGCAATTTGCAGTTGTTTTCAAATCATTGCTGACAATGATTCCTAGGTCCTTCTGTTCGTTAACATCAGGTAGTTCTGCATCCCCTAGGGAGTACGACGTATAAGACTTCTGACCTAAGTGCATTACCGCGCTTTTCCTAGCATTCATTTCCAAACTCCATAGGCTTGACCACTCAGCTAATTTATCTAAATCAGTTTGTAGGGCCGACCTATCCTCGTTATTGTTTACAGTTTTCCATACTTAATGTCATCTGCAAATAATAATGAAGATGAAGAAAGAATCCCTGGTAATTCGTTAACGTATAATAGGAATAGCAATGGACCTAATACAGTTCCCTGGGGCACTCCACTGGATACTGCTTTCCATCCTGATAGTACACCGTTAACTCTAACCTTCTGCCTTCTATCCATTAAGTAATCTCTAAACCACTCACATAGGCATTGGTCTAGTCCGAAACCTTTCAGTTTACTAAGGAGACCTAAGTGGGATACTTTGTCGAACGCCTTGCTAAGATCAATAAAAACCACGTCCAACAGATGGTCCCTATCTCTGGCCTCAACCCAGTCTTCCCTAGCCAATAGTAGGTTTGTCAAGCAGGATCGTCCTGGTCGGAATCCATGCTGTTCCACAGCCAACAAGCCATGTGTTTCAACATAAGCTAATAGTTGATCCCTTATAATAGTTTCCAATACCTTTGCAATAATGCATGTCAGACTTACCGGCCTGTAGTTAGATACCAATTGCCTATCCCCCCTTGAAGATAGGGCTTATAATGGCATCCTTCCAGTCCCTGGGTAGCTTAGCCTGCGTCAGAGACATTTGGAAAATCTCCGTAAGCGGAATATATATTATATCCGCCAAGGAAATTAACAGCTTAGGGTGAAGTCCATCCGGCCCAGGTGATTTACCTGGCTTCAGTTTAGACAGTAGTTTGAGAACCTTTGTGTGCTCTACCACAATTGAGGGCATCTGAGTGGCGATGGCAGTGACCTCGCCATATCCCTGGGTGGTACTATCAGACGAGAAGACGTCACAGAAGTATTCAGAGAGGTTTTCAGCCTTTCCTTCGTCTGACTCAGCCGCTTCTCCACTAATGGTTATGAGTGACGGTATACCACTGCTAGTTTTAGTCCTACGTTTAATATACGAGTAAAACCTTTTTGGGTAATGAACGCAATCTAGTACTAATCGTCTCTCGTACTCTATACGACTCTTGTTAATCGCATACTTACAGAGGTTTCGAATTTTGCGGTAGTCTTTCTGGAAGTTTTCCCTTCCTGTCATAACAAATTGGTCCCATAAGTTCTTTCGCCGTCTTAATAACCTCCTTATTTCACTAGTGATCCAAGGAGGTTCATGCGACGGCTTTCGAGGAGTGTACCAAGGTATAAAAGGTGAAGTGACACGATCTAGTGTATTCCTAAATCCTACCCAAGCTTCCTCGACAGTCCGACTTGTATCAACTGACCAGTCAACCGCAGTTGCTGCGTTCCGGATTCCTTGTATATCCGCTTTCCAAATGTTTGGACGAGCAGATTTTGGCCTGTGCATGAGAGAATGAATCCTAAACGTAAAAGCAATGACTATGTGGTCACTGCTGCCAAGCGGCGGAAGGCACCTAATGTTACCAACGTCCTCCTTCTGGTGTGTCAATACCAAGTCTAGAGTAGATGGATCATGTTCAGGGTGATACCGTGTTGGTGCATGCATATGTTGCACGAGTGCACATTCAAGCACTGTCAATGTGAGCTCCCTATTGAAACAGGTATACAAACTAGTGGAGTTTAATTCCCCCCAATTAATATGTGGAGCGTTAAAGTCGCCAACAATCAGACACCTATTTCTACTACCCCACGCCCTCAAGTGATTTAGAACGAAGTCATCAGCTTGGCTAGCAGGACTTCTGTAAAAACTCCGATCGTTAAAGTGCCTTTGTTTAAGTTAATGATGCAACTTGCGGCTTCACTGGTGCCGCTGTCATGAGCTTCTGACAACGTTGACCTGATCCCTATGTCATCCCGGATGTATAGAGCAACCCCCCACCTTTCCGACTACTTACTCTATCTCGTATGCAGACATACCCAGGTATGAGTGGAGTTAAGTCTGCACCCACTAACAACCATGTCTCAGTGATAGCAATCACATCAGGTTGCAGTCTTCCAGATAATTCTCCCAATTCGGCGAGCTTATTCCTAAGACTACATGCGTTTGTATGGCACACCGAAACACCTTTTATTTATTATTTATTTAAACGCATAAAAACTTGGTACAATATGGCACCAAGAAGGATGCGCCACACAATAATAATAAAACAACATAGATCAAAGAAAAAAAAGAAGGAAAAGAAAAAAATATAAGTAGAGAACGGATAAAGAACTTCATCTGGAAGGAAGACAGTCTAATTAACAAGTTGAAACAATATTCGTTAACTATCATCGGGAAGGGAAGAAAGAAAGAAACTGCAACACGTGTAATAGCACGCGATAAGTTTCATTGATTGTTTGTTGCTTCATTCAATTCATTGTGTGAGGGCTGAGATACTGCCCGGGCGCCCAGACCGAAGCAGGTGGTTTTATTAAGGGACCACCTTCCCCCGAGCCTTTGAATTGGAGTCTAATCCGCAAGGCAGCGGAGCAGCGTCAGGAGCTGCATTCCCATGGTTTCCCGTGACCCATACGAGTTCATACGCTATTTGATCCGATTGGATACTGGAGCTATCCAAACAACCTTCTTGACATTGTAGGACCTGCAGGGACAGAGTCCCAGTCAGTTTAGCATGTTGGGTCATTACATTATTCAAGCCCGACCACCACGACAAGGTAGCAGTTATCGGCCGGGACCGAAACACCTACGTGTTTATCCGGCTCATGAAGGGAGGTCTCAGCAGCATCGATTTCCGAGACCTCACTACAAATAGCATTAAGCAATATTGGAGATGGAAAGAATACTAGTTTACTCTCATACTTATTTTTAAAAGGATTCAGATTTCTCGAACTACAGTCCGCATCTATTGCAATGAGACGATTAATAATAACCCAGTTTTGTGCATACTTTGCCAGTTTATTAGTGGATGGTTTATGTGCTCAGGGTATGTATATGTTTACATATCTTATTTGGATTTAAATGCGGATGGTTGTTTTGTAAATTGCAGTAAGTGTTAGAGTAGCCATATAATGTACTGGTTCACATTTTAACTTTATACATGTGTATATGTATTTCAGTAAATATATTTTGTCTTTCTCATGTTTTAAATTACGACACAAATTAAATGGATAAGTGACCTAACTTTATACTCTCGGAATTCTTTTACCCCTGCAGTTTGATTCGATGGCTAGACGAATTCATGTGGATGAAGTCCCAAGGACACCCAAGGGAAAGAATTTGGATACCCGCAAAATATCAGCTGATGAGATTGAATTTGATTCAGAGATAACCATAAAATCGTCTTTAGTACGTGAGTGTGAACCTGTGGATGCTTTGTTTGAAGAGGCTGAACCAAGTGATGAAGACGATAATAAGTAAGCAATATCCTCTTGTACCATATTGTATCAGACCAAAGTTTATTGCTCGTAAATCCATAGATCTCCGAAAATTACGTTCAGAAAAAGATAAATGGGAAGCTATCTGCTCCAGTCCTATGGTGGATTCTCGACCTCGAAGATTGAGTTATTCAAAATCTTTCAGTGAAGGCGTGTTAGATTCCGATGATCCTAAAACTCCCATGCGTTTACCTAGGTATAATGACCCTATTTCATCTGCATCACGCCGAATGTCACGTGTGATAATTAATCGTCGGTTTTCCATGTTAGAAATGAACCGTAATCCTGCATTTTCTGGAAAATCGAATTCAAATAACATAATGCCTGCTGCCAAGTGCGAAATGCAAGATGCGCCGGAGGATCCATTCACTTTAGAAGAGTAAGTTTGCAAAATATTTTGCTTGAATTAATTCTAGCATATGGAATTGTCCTGCGTAGACTTATGTACTACTAAATAGAATGTAGTTAGTATCATTTTATATCTTAGTCTGATTACCTTAAAGGACTCTACAACTAGTTTCACGAAGTAGCAAAACACAAGCACCTCTATATAGTTTGCAACGAAATATCTTGCAATAACATGACTATAAGGATCATTGCATTGACATTCGAGAATCAGATATTCAATTCCTTTGGTTCTGTATACATTGAAAGTAACTGCAGTGCTTAAGTAATTAACTATTTTTCAGAGATTGTATCCTAGTTAACAGTTTTTTGTTATGCGTTCTGTCGGAAGCATTAAGATTCTATACTTTTATTCTTTGAAGCCGCCACGAAATATTCAAATCTGTGGAGTTGAAGGTATAATCTTTCAAATAATACTAATAATTGTTATAGTTACACGCCAGTCTAAATTGACTCCTATCATATCATTGTATTATATCAAATTCAACGAAATAAGGTGATCACAACAACACTTGTTGGACACTTTAAGGTAACCCTATAAAACGATGTGTACTTAATAACTTCCGGTGGACATATGTCATTTTTATTTATCTTAACTCCTAAATAGGTGGTGTTGTGTAAGCTGCAATCTGTGCTGATGCATTTTATTGACCGGTCTTGAACGGTGACGATGACAACAACCTCCTATTCGTCAAACTAAGTCGTCAAATCATTGATTGTTAGTTTCATTTGCATAGAGAGTTCTGTTGCTCTTCATTGCTTCAGTGAATAGGAATGCCGTTCGACAGAAATATATTCACTTGTTCTTCTTACACTCTTACTTATCTGATTTTCTGATATTTATCTCCCGCCTACTCTATCCTCCTTTACTTTTGTTGGTTTATTTCTGTACCGTTGTGATAACTTGAAGCAAAAGACTCGCATATTATTCTGTTCCACTCTATATATTCTGTGCACACTTTGATCACCTATGAGAAACAGTATCTAACAGTAATGGAGATGTAGCTCATTGGTTTAAGCACTCGACTTGCAGCCAGTGGATTTCGAGCTCGAATCCCTCTCCACCTAATTCAACCTGGGCGACTGGGTATTATCATTAGCATAAGAATAAAACTTGTGCACTGTGGTAGAGTGTAATTCCATTGTGAGTAAATTTTGTTTTGATAAAGTCTCACAGTGTTATACAGTAATGTTTACTGATGACGTTTCGAGCACAATTTATTGCTCATAATCATATCAAGGTGATATGATATGATTATGAGCAATAAATTGTGCTCGAAACGTCATCAGTAAACATTACTGTATAACGCTGTGAGACTTTATCAAAACAAAATTTACCCATAATGGTATTATCATTAGCCTTCATGCAATAAGTATGTCTCATAACCTGGAAAATGAGAAATCTGTTGTGGGTAACTAAGTGTTTTACAGTAGCATGCAAGGACATGATGGTTAGTCCCAAGCGTTCAGGTGCTTCCAAATGTTGTGGTTTTCATTCCAAGTATTAATTTTATATTTTTACAGAGTTTGGAGGGATATATCATGTTCCTAATTATTTTCTACCACTAAAGTTAGACCTGACTCGAAATTTGTTATCAATTTCAACCAACTGTAGGTTAAGGAATCTGTAAAACAGGTAGATCAGGGATCATGATAAGTTTAATCGCCCCAATTGGTTATAATTCTGTTATCACTCAGCATTATTGAACTAGTAGAATTTTCTCTGGAAAACTTAGCATTGCAACTGTAGAAATCCTCACCGCATATTATTAAGGCGTTTATCTTAGATTGCACATGTGATACTTCCTAGCAAAATAGATTCCAGTAATAAATATGTACTTGAGATCCAGTTCTGTGAAACCTTTTAAGATTTCGGTAGTTGCATAATTTAGATTAATGGCTAAAGAAGACTCATGCATTATTCGTTTGTCTCAGCTCCCAGAGTCCGTGTGCATCACTAGTTTAAAGTCAGCATACACTTCCAGATTCCCACATTGTGAGATTCACTTTTTGAATAATAATAATAATACGAAAATGTGGTTAATGTGGTATCTGTGTTGATTACATTGCTTGAACTATCAAGAATTTTTAACAAGAAATAGATAAGGTAGCGGAGAACTCAAGGTGTACCGGTGTAGGGTTATTTTATTAGACAAATCTCATACAACCTAACATTGGGAATCCGATTTATACAAGCTATTTGTGTTCTTCCTACTGTCTTACCCTTTGTCTTCTTCAACTTTATTTCATCCTCTCTATATCGATTACCGGTTTTATCTAAATCCGTCTCCTTCGTTTTCAAGACGTTTGGAAAAAGTATCGCACTGTATATTTCATTGCTTTGCGTTCCAAGTGAAACGTACGGCTTTAAACGTAAGCTTCAAAGTTTCTCTAGCAGTGGTGTTACTTCAGTGGGTGAGGTTGCTCGCCTCACGCCCAACCTCCCCTCTTTTCTGGGCTGACTACCGGCTAAGTGAGGTTTAAAAATGCGTCTGTCGAGGATTGAACACCGGGCCACGTGCGTGGCTGTCCCGGATTCTACCAATGAACCACCGACGCACATCATGTTGTATCCTATTTACAAATTCTTGGCAGTTTCTTACATCATAATAATCGAGAGTATTTTTGATTTGCTGAGTATGCTTCCAACTGATGAGGATACTTGTTGCTTGATCATTTATTCGAAGTACATAAATACCAAAACAAAATTAAAACAAGGTATTATGAATTACTGGTTGAGTAAAGTTGAATTGTTTCTGTATATTGATAGTTATAGTCTTCCTTCTAAATATCACCTAGAATGGATGTAATGTTTTGTTGGCGTGGAAGTATTCACAGTACAATCAATACCAGTGGTTACAAGCAGCTCTATTAACTACTTCTGAAAACTAATTCTATTGCGAGTATTTTTGTTAAGAATGAACATACATCTCGAAAATAAAGATAGTCTGTTCTATGTGAATGGAATCAACAATGTACCTTCAAAATTAGACATTCCAGTAAGGATATTTCATTGAATATTCAGACGAATGGAGGCATTTCATTATCATTAGTGTATACAAGAAGCTGTTTGAATACTCTTGGTCTTTCGCTTTACCAGTCACCTTTAAAAGAAATACCTCTCAAATATCTTGAAACGCATGTTTTGCCCTTCAGTCAGTATGTTACAGTATTTTGAATATTTCTTAATCACTATTCTTATGTAGCAAGGAGAATGTTGAACCATCAGAGAAAATCGCCTCATCTTCTTCTAAAGAAGCAAACAATGAAACCCTAAACACATCTGCAGTTGATCCTAACTCAGTCTCTGAATTCCGTATGCTTGCGGATATGGAAACAGCTCGACTACTCGGATTATGCGGGGATTGGAATTGTGTACTATCTGAAGAAGGTGAAAATATGCCAGAAACGGGTAAGACTAAGAAGCACTGATACCTTATTATACTACCTTTCTCGATAACTTATTTATAATTGCATTGGTATTCCTAGGTACATGACATTCTTTAATAAACATGTCTTACAGATACTATAGTGTCAAACTAAATGAAGTTGTGAAACACCGAAGTGCATTACAAAATTGTTTCGATGACAAACAGAAGTCTCTTGGTCGCATGCCAAATACTATTTGTATTATATAATTGCAACATAATCATGCAAAGTTATCGCTATTTATCTACTTAGAATCCTTCTCTGTCCTCTGAACTGACTTAAATTCACGGATATTAAGTTAGAAATAGGCATTAATGATGCCTCATACGCAGCTCTTAATCTACCTGCAATATACATTTAAATTCCCATCATAGAATAGTGCCAACTGAACACACATGCTGAGTTTTAGTAACCAACAAAACCTTCAACCTTATTGCAATTGCTGTTGGCAAGCCAGTACCAATAATATATCCCGTGAAGTTGCACATGAGAACAATTTTCTGTTTATTGACTGACTGTCGAATCAACGTAGAACTCTTCATTAAACTTTATTAGCTCAAGTTTACTGCACTTCGAAAAAGCACATACATAGAGGTAGCTTTACGATAGTGCGACAGGGTAATATGAGAGTAAAGAATAAAATAATTAAATGAAGATTAGTAAGGCATTTTAGAATCTGAAAGATCATAAGTAGTGAGTGCATCTGCGGACGATTTCTAACCATGTCATCACACAGTCGTCAACCATTTCCGTGTACCCTAACCTGGCAGTCGACACCTCCTTGCATACCTAAAGTCAATAGCCAAAGATTCCGTGGATGGTGACATGTTGTAATCTGACCAACCCTCTTTTTCCGTAAACTTTATATTAGGGTAAACATTATTTAGATTTAATATTTGCGTTGTCTCATTAAAACAATCACAAAAGACAAACATATCATTGAGATACCTGGTATATTAGTCTGTCTGACTTCGAACGTCATTCTTATTTTTTTTTCCAAGTTGCCTATAGAAATCTCCGTCAGGATTGGATCCTTTCACACAACCTGTCTTCTTTGTTAGTTTGAAAAAGGAAACGACTAACATGCTTGTAAAATGTTACGAGTTCTTTTCACCTTGTGGATTCTCTTCAACTGCGTGCATCCTAGACAAAATCAAATTATAAGTTAAAAAAATGTTTGAACGTACTTCGGATTATAGATAGACAGCATAGGCATAATATTTAGAATTATATTGCTTACATATTCTACCTAGTTTGAAGAATCGGATCCAATGGATTACCCATAGCAACCCCACCAATCTCTTGGTTCATAACATTGTTGAATTGATACTGTTGTTTGCCTATGGTGCACATTAGTAGTAGGAGCTGTTCGAGTTTGCTTTATAGCAGAGGAAAAAAGTTAGAATATTGAAATATAATTTATATAGTTTGTTCTAGTGGGATCTTTAGGAATAAGGATGACACATCTAACAAAACTATCAGTTTGATTTGAAGATGTTCAAATTCTCTAACATTTTTAAAGGACTGAAAGATATCTTTTAGGCTGTGAGTGCAGGTACCTTCTCACGAATTGACTATAGCCACACTTCTCTAGACACTAGGTTACTTTTTGACAGTGAATTGGCCACATAGACATGTCGGGTTTATGCCATGATTAGAAGTAGTTATAACTGGAGTTAAACTCACAACTGCCCACATAAAAGATAGTTTCTTAAGTTACACACTTCCACAAAAATGACTGACTGTTGTCATATATCTTGGTAACTACAGTCTTTTTGTCTAACTTATTAACCTTTTGTTCAACTGCTATGGTTTTATCCAATAACGATAATGAATTTAGTAAATCAAAACAATATTTATATATTTCATCCACATTATTATCAACTATATTTTTCCTCTCTGTATATAGCACGGGATTCTGTTAGAGCAGTCGTAGGAAAGTGTGAGCTTTTGTTACAGAAAAAATTGCCATTTTTTAAAAGTTTAATTGAAATGGCCGAGAAAAGTGTTGAATCGTGTAACACTGATGATAATGATACACCAAAAACGGATTTAAACGATCTTCTTGGCTATTGGACTTTAGTATCTAATGAAATTCGTCTATCTGATAATGCTTTTGAACGTCTACGTATTTGGCGTGAAGACTGTAACTGGTCAGTGGAGCAGTATCCTGTTACTCCAGCCAGATCGGAAATTATTAAACGTCGTGGTCGTCCACCAAAACACGTAAAAAATACAACGACAATAACATCACATCCAAAGAGAGGTAAACTGAAAAATTCTCAACCTGTTAACAGTGAATTTGTCAACGCGAATGAAGTAGAGAATGCGTTAACTTCTCCAACATCAGACTCAGTTGGTATTAAAACACCTAAGGTAATGAATGATATTCGGTTGATATTCTGTATTAACAGTGGTAATAATATTGTTTACAGGTTTAATCATTAGTTGACATCAGTTAGAGCACCATTGGACCATTGGATCGGTTCCCAGTGGGTGAATAGTCTACTAGCTCGCCTTGTTCAAACCATAAATCAACTACCCACTTGGTCCTAGTTCAATTCCCAGCTGATCCACTTTTAAATCTCACTTAGTTAACTAGCCGATAGTAAACTCGGAAAAGATGGGGGTGACGGGAGAGGGTGTTGAAGTTAGCAACCTCCTCCCCCCCCCTCCAACTCGTAAAACCAAATCAACACTGTCTCTATTGAAATTTCAAAGCTTAAGGCTTGATGACCTATTTTCTATTCGAAACACGCAGGGAGTAATAATAAGAGACCACAACTAACGGTTATTAAAACACAAACTTGTTACATCATGAGTATCAAGAAAAATGCGCTCCAAAAAATTTCATAGTTTGTGCGCCAAGGCTACGCTACTTCCCAGACGGCCCAGACTGAAGCACATGGTTATGCTAAGGGAGTTACTTCTCCTGAGCCTTTGACTTTAAGTCTGATCCACAAGGTAGGTAGTGAATCAGCATCAGGAGTTACGTTCTTATGATTGACAGTGACCATTAGATCCTTTCGGATTCTGGAGCCCATGTACATCATAGGTTTTGAATCAGGGTTTTACAGATCCCTTAGTTAGACCTGAATGTCCATCAGTCCGGTTGTAAGTTCCAGACTTCCGTATTCACCTCTTCAATTTTATATGAAGTACCCGCCGCGTAAAGACAGTGAATAGGATCTGCTTGACAGAGTCTGTGAACACGTGGCCACATGAAGATTTCGAGGCAAAGACAGAAGTCTACCCACCCTCGGTTGCACCCGGTGGTTTGTGACGGCTGCTATAGGAATATTTTTTGAACTACATCAGTGAACTGAACACAGCAAAATTCTAATAATCTTGTGACACAATTATTATTATCATTGCTATATTCAATCTCCCATTATCATGTTTCACCTTATCCCAAGTGTGTGTATTATATCATAATCATGATAGATGTGCATAGTAGGTTATATAATGAGTTTATAAAGGTTTTGGATTTTTGGAAGTTTACTAATCATTGGATACCTGGTTGTTGTGATATTAACAGTGTGAAAGAGAGACTCTCAAGTGAAACACGTTACTTTTATGTTTGTAGTGAAATCGAAGGAGTGCGAGTTGTAATCATCCATTAAGATGCAAGAAAATATGTCAGTTATATTTACGCACTGTATTAGTACATTCGATGTAAAGTGTGAAAATAGATCGATAGCAAAATCAACTGAGTACAGGTAATGATCTTTGGTTCAGGTATTCACAAAACCGGTTTCATCAAATATTGTCTAAATCTCAATGTTACTCTAGTCAGTGAAGTGTTATTAAGTTATTCATAAATGATTCTGAAGTGTTAATTCTCGAGGGTTTGATTAGTTTCAAATTAAATCACGAACTGATATCAGGGACACTGAAAAACAATTTCACCCCGCCTTTGAACTCTTGAACAGCACTCATCTATGACCCCTTCGGTGATCGAACGCACAGCTATCAGGTTATAAGGTGAACCCGTTGACCAGTGATAAATGGTCACGTGGTTAGCCTACTTTTTGTATAAGAAAATCATTCGTTATGATAAACTTCTATCCTTACTTAATAAATGTCATCAATCCTGCTGAAACACTGTGTATGCGCCTAGTGTTTAACAATAAGCCTGTAAGCCTCATTTTTTGTCGAATATATATATTTATAGAAAGTGTCCAGGATCTCACAGCAATTCAGAAATATGATCAGTACTGCGAACATAAGGGTAAGAGTAAATTGAATTGATTATTCTCGACCGAGATTTTTGTTGTGAACTGGTATTGTTATGAATCGTTCTCCGGACTAGTTTTAACAAAGAAAATTATTAGTATTCCGATGTTATTAGTTGTTGTTAATAAAGAATAGTACACCTGATCAGCTAGCTAGCTAGCTTTTAAAACCAGTCCAAGTTACCAAACTCCATGTAGCACACAAAGTCAGAGAAAGGAAAGCAAAACGAAATTCATGAAAACAAAACTGCACTGATAGGGAGGAAAAGTAATTTGAATGAACCTAAAGACTTAATGCGCCACTGAGAACAGTTTTGAGCCATATCACCATATGTCGACCGAGAGGTTCTCTGGAGATGCTGGCTGTAAAGGGAATGCCGAGAAAATACATTGCACTGATTAAGGCACTCTACTCGTACTCATACAGCCAGGTGAGGGCTTACGGCGAGCTGTCATCTGAACTGGTGACGACTAGTGGTGTCCGCCAAGGATGCCCATTATCCCCTTTTCTATTCAACTTCATCATAGATGTACCAATGGACTTAACCCTAACTCACTTCAGCGACTCAGGGATTGACTTGCAGCCAGGGAATAATCTCGTTGACTTAGAATGTGCAGACGATATGGTCCTTCTAGGCGAGGACGCTGACAAAATGCAGAGTCTTCTAAACACCTTGAGCCGCAATCTACGAATGTTTGGCATGCGATTCGCTCCCGCCAAATGCAAGATGATGTTACAGGACTGGACTACACTGACTCCTAGATTAGAAATAGGGAGTGAAGTGGTAGAGCACGTTGTCCGCTTCACTTACCATCAGCCCCAACGGGTTGATCTCTGACGAAATCTCAGCACGAATACAGGGGGCTCGTTTCGCGTTTGCCAGTTTACGGCGTCTCTGGCGTAGACGAGATATCCGACTATCGACCAAAGGACGGGTGTACTGCTCATCAATCCGCTCCATCCTCCTTTATGGCCAGCTGTGAGACCTGGCCACTCAGAGTGGAAGATATGAAAAGATCAGCTAGCTGTCTTTTATCATAGGTGCCTGCGTTCTATCTCCCGTGTGAAGTGGCATAATAAGGTTAGCAATATTGAGGTTAGGCGTCGAGTGGTAGGTAAGGAGGGGAAATCAATCGACGAGGTTGTGAAATTACATCGACTGAGATGGTTAGGACATGTGTTACGTACGCCTTCCTCGACGGACGGCGATGTTAGGTGACATATGGTCAGGCTGGAAAAAAGCTAGCGGAGGTCAAACAAAAACATGGCATCAGTCAATCAAATCTACAACAGTTAGTCTAAGCCACGTAGGAAGGTGTAGACTTCCTGACTGTTTGGAGTCCTCGGGATGGTAAAAACCAATGGTTGGAAACAATTGGCGACATGGCTCAAAATCGTTCTCAATGGCTGGCGCAGATGCATCCACTCCTTGTGAGTTATGATTTCCAATGAAGCTGTTTTGTTCTTCGTTATTACTCTTCCTTTGTCTGACACCTCTGTTTACTGTCTCTATTATGCATTTCTTCTACTTTCTTCTCTTGCTCTGTGTGGTACATGGAGTGTGGCGACTTGAACTGCCGCACATATGTACAAAGTTCTATGTCGAAAACAGACAGATAGACATATCACCAACAGTTTCAAGTCACTGGATTTTAGCGTCTAGACGACGACTTATCTCTACATATCTCAAACCAACTGCCCAAGAACTCCATAGATTGACACCATATTTTGATATGACCCTGCTGAACTCTTTCTCCAACATAATGTAACATCGGTTGGAGGAGGAATTTGATGGTTCTGCACGTGTAACACACGTGTTCTAGCCATCCCAGTCGATGTAGCTTCACACAATCTCATCGATTGACTTCCCTTACTTACTTACTTACTTACTTAACACCCAACATCCAAGGAATGTAGAAGACTGTGACATATCAGCGATTACTGAACAATGTTTTTTGTAACTGATATTTATTTTCTAGTAATAGAGGTGATGCATAGTAAATCAGAATCTACTAGTGTGGTGTATGTGTTTATTATATATGCTTAAATCTATATTCAATTAAACGTTTATTATTTTGTATATTTGTTACATTTACCTCTAAAGCTGAAGATTACACCGAAAAAGCCAGTGAGGTCTAGATTTCTTCAGTTTTTAGAAGCTAAAAGAGCTGAAGCTGCTTCAGGTATGCATATTAGTAAATTATATTTTGAATGCTTTGTATTTCATTTCTACTTTACAATTTTTTCACTAACACTTTCTTGATATGTGTGTATTGTATACTTTTTACTGGGTTATAACAGTTGTTTGGATTCAGTTGGCCGGAACAAATGTTTCATGTGTCAAGCCTAAGAGCTACACTTATTATTATGTGTGAGCTAATGACACTGAGTAGTTGTTCAGACTGAAGCTGGTGGAGTGGGATATAAACGCGGGCTTTTAAGCTAAAATAAGCCACATCCTCACAGTATTCATTATACACTGTAATTATTAATTGTTATAGCTAAGTGACGGGATTTATAGTCACTAAGTGATTTATATATGCCTAATCAATGTCTATAAAATGAATGCTTCATGTTAAGGAAATATTATCCATGGTTACACCACTAGGCTACGAGATATGCTTATTGTTTGTGTATGTATCAGGACTGATGATAACACCGTCTGACTGCGCACAGGCTGAGCCGGATTCGGACCTGGAACCCAATGACTGGAAAGTCAAGAGCTTATCAATGAGTCACTAAGTAACTTCTCTATATTATGTAACAGATTGCCTGATCTTTATTGTAAGTAAAATAATGTGATATTAATGTATTGATATGTAAGTGATATACTTCATTATGAGCTACAAATTACCTCAAAGAAAATAATTGTTTTACTGGGGAATTTAAAAAAATTTCTTCGATGAAGTAAGCTCCCGCTCCATCGGTAGGGGCTTCGATGAATCATCGGACGAGTTAATTTCATGTGTTGGTTTGCAGGGATTTCATCATCGATTGTGAACTAACTCCAGCTAGAGAACCATTGAAAACCGAAATAAAGTATTGGATGGTTGTTTCGTCCTGTTAGGGAGTCTTCACAGTATGCCTCCTGTGACTGCCAGGAATCGAACCCAGGACCTGTAGGTTACAAGGCGATCTCCCTAATCATCCAGCCTCGGGGACGGAATTCAATGGCTCGTTAATTCTAACTTCTGCCAATTCGCGTCACAATGGCTAAATGTGTCAACGAACTCGTCTTGTAAACAGCTGAGGGCCCTGGGTTCGATCACTAATGGAGTCTGTAGCTCCGGTACTCTCTAGTTTTTAATAGTTCTCTGAGTGAAGTTAATTTGTGATCACTCTTGAAATGAATTTCATCCTGAAAAAATCAGATATTTCCAAATTCAACGAAGTGATCGACATCTTAAATATTATGTGAAAAATAAGGTTCAACAATTACTCTATTCAAGACATCGTGATTATTAAACCACTAAGGAAGTTTGAGACGACACTTCTGAAGTTTTCAGTAAAAGAATGATTGGGTCAAGATTTCTCTACTGATCCCGAATAATATGTATGCTATCTGGCCAATAATTAATTTCAGCTTTTCATCTGAACTCTTAACTCATCATACAACTAGAATTATGTTAAATAAATCCAGGAAAAATAACAACCACAGCAACGGGTAATACACTGCTGAGGGTTCGTTCCTAAAAGTGAATGTGTGTCTACCCATATATGACCAGTCGACATTCTCCTCTTACACTAGTAAGTAATTCTTAGAATACTTACCTGCATTATCGTCATCATCAAATATTGGATTGATAAAAACTTTGTTTTAGCATTGAAACATTTCTCAACTAATTTTTAAACTTACCTACTGCAAATACGTTTCCCGATAAGCGCAAAACCTAAATTCAGAGCCCTTTCCCCGCGATTCACTCTTACACTCACACATCATGTATGATCAATACTAGATTTTTGGTCAAGCTTAACAATGTATGCCTACTCACCTTACTTACATTACCTGACCATTCAAGTTGGATTGCCCGGACATCGTGTGTGTGTGTGTAGAGTACTGTCTTATACAATTATCACCAGTAGTTTGATGGCTGGTGACTGGAAGTTGCGTCCGGGATGAATACTTCGTCCTACTTGGGACTCGTCAGTTTGGATGTACCTGCATTCCCCAGTGAGTGGTAGTGTCCCCATTGACACTTGAGCCCAGTTCCTATCGTTTCAAACAACAACCCGTCTTCTACCAGACCATTTCGGCTACGTAAGCCACTTCTAGTCACTATTCACCAAATTACTTCAAGTTTATCCTCAGACATCGTCAAAGTGTGTGTACTAGAAGCCGCCGACATTTCAACCGAGACTAAAACATTCGGTCCAACCAATTAACGAGAAAATCAGAATTGAATTAAACACAAGTAATAATTATCATCAGTGTTCTTGAGATCTGGTGAAGATTATATTGTGTATTTTTCTTCCATCCCCTCCCATCAACTCTCCTCTTTTTCTTTTTATCTCCACTGTTTAGCTTCGACTCAGAAAAATCCCTCTCCTCATAAAAATATCGTCGATGTACTTTCTCCACTTGGTTTACGCCCCGTCACTGGTGTTCGTGAGGATGAAACTAATGACAATAACAATAAGTAATCACTTGCAAGATGAAGTATTGGAACAACTGAGAGAAAAGAAATGAAACAATATACTTCAGTTCTTCACCGTTTAATCAATAATTTTGTGTACTTATTCGTTAATTATGCTTACTTTACTCGACTATATCATATTATTACTATATTTTGTTATTGTTCTTACAAACATGCAAATATTGTTTTGATATGTGCACAGTAACTCTGATAGCTATATTCTTCAACAAACTTAATCTCAAAAGTTTATGCCTATTTTTTTCTGTGTATGTCTGTATATGTGTCTATTCATAACTTTATCTTTTCGCTGTTAACACAGAATTCATTAAATATATTTCTACAGAAATATACATCAATACTTTACTTATCATCTATAAACCTTTTTTCTTATTTCACTTTGCCTTTACGTGTAGATGGTGAGTAGGGTGATAGAGTGTGTTGACCACTTCTTAACTTATCTAGTAGGTTGTATCAACCCTAATGGACTGATTGTGTTGACGAAATCTCAACATTAATAAAAAAAAAGACTCATGTAGTTGATATTTACCAACTTATGTCATATCCGGTTATCGATCAAAGGATTTGTGTACTGCACAGTTGCTTGTTCTGTCCTCCGTTACGGCTGTGAGACATAGCCATTCAAAGTGTAAGACCTGTAGAGGTTAGCTGTCTTTGACAACAGGTGCTTTCATTCTACCTCCCATGCCAAATGGTATGACACTGGGAGCGCAATAGTGAGGTTAAACTTAGAGTGTGTTAACTTAGTAGCGTAAATGAATCAATGAGGTTGTGAAGGTGAATCGATTGGGATGGATGGATAAACCACGTACGTGTTGCGCATGACCAACCACCACCCTCTTCGACGAGCAGTATTAGCTGGAAATAGGATTAGATTGAAAAAGAGTTAGGGGAGTTCAAACCAAAATATGACATCAACCCATGAACTCTGGTTGGTCTGAGCTAGTAGCTACTCAACAAGGTGTAGACTGTCTGGTTGGAGTCCTCGGTATCCTGAGCAGCAAAGCCTGGAGATTGCTGGTGGAATTGCTCAGTGGCGAAGAAGTAATCATCTCTCATATCCTTTATATTCTTTTTATTTAGGATGTTAGTGTTGTCTCGCCGACACATTTCTGCTTCGAATTTGAATTTCTGTTTTGCCTTTTCTGCATGCTTCTGTGCTACTTCGAGTGTAGCAACTTGAACAACTGCACTTCTTTGCAAAGTTCTATGTTGAAAGTCAGTCTGTAGGTAGATATATACGTATATGCAAAAGCACATTTTCCCTATTTGACGATGAACTCTCTTCATTGCGGGTTTCAATTTACCAGCTGTGTTGTTATCTTACTGTTCCATCATCATCTGAGTGTGGTATGCGTGGAGAAAGCCCATGAAAAATGAGTCATATCTTTAGGGTTGTGAATTTCGAAAGAAAAACACAAGTTAGAAGACGTAATTATCTGACATGTGTGATATGTAGTCCCATGATGTGTGTTTTGTTTTTGACAGTCTGTTATATTTTGCTATGTGTATATTGATCGATATTCCATTATAACTGACAATATGCTTTTGTCTGTCCATTAACTAAATAAACAAGGTATGACCTTGTTGTCACATGACATTACAACCAATCATGGTAAGACTGTCTGTTTATTGGTTCATCTGTATTAGTCATTTTCATATATACTTTTGCATTGTACACTTTTATAGACACACTTGTTCACACATTTCGTACATTTAAGTACCCTTCACTCTCACATATGTGTGACAGTCATTATTTTCCTTATTTGGAAGTATCATCGTGAACGTGGTGAACTTCTGATTTTCCTCTTTCCGCGTCAGGACTACAAACTACTCGACGAGTACATAACAATGTGTAATTTTTTTTGTAACAGATTTTGGACAGTCTGGTCACACATGCGTACATGTAGTATATTACATTTGTCTTAACAGACTAAATCAGCTGCTGTTTCATCCTAGTTTGGGAATCATCGCCAGTACGCACCCACTGGGATTCGAACGCAAGACCTTCCGGTTACAAGGCAAGCTCTTATACCATTCAGCCACTGGAACCCGATTCAATGGCTCGTGAATTCTGGTATACGAGCTTGCCTTGTAACCGGAAGGTCCTGGGTTCGAATCCCAGTGGGAGCGTACTGGCGATGATTCCCAAACTAGGATGAAACAGCATCTGTCCAGTACTCCCTGGTTTTCAATGGTTCTCTAACTGATATCAATCCGTGATCAACTCGTAAAAACATAAATAACCCTTACAAACCAAACTATAGAAGACTAAATCAGGTCAAAGTTCACTGATTATTTTTAGGGTGAAATTGTCGTAAGTAGCTTATAGCAAAACACTAACTAACTAGCTAGTCAGCAACAAACAAGGTGGGTAGAATACGTAACAACATACAAGAAAGCGTTTAGGAGTTAATGGAAATCATGTAGGTGAGTTGTGATCAGTGTGTCAAAACGATAATTTAAAAAACAATGTAGGAGACAGAATAAACAATTACGGAATGGATGAGATAATATTTATTAGGTTTGTTTTTGCATAAACAGGTTGGGGGTGAGGGGAGAGGGGTTTAAGTGATACGATGACGATAGATTCAACAAAGTGAAATATAGTTAGATTTTGTGACTACAACTTTAACGCACAAAAGTGTTATCGAAACAATAGTGCGTTTCGTATCTCAATTACTAAGTTGTATTTTGAAATGCGACACAATCTATGTCGTAGATTCAAATTACTGGTAAATTGTCGACTGGGTGTCAATTAGGTATTCGAAAAAACACGCGAAATAGTAAGTATCACTTTCATTTATCTACGTATTGAACTGTTCTGGATATTCAGCCCGGTTTGAAAAGAAAGATAGAAGGACTATAATGAGCACAGATATACGGGTGAGAACAGGTAGAACTCAGGAAGCATATATTATCAACAAAAAGGGATAAAGAAGAACCTTGCAAAACTCAAAACCGCTACATTCATCTAGAAGAAAAAATGATTCCTCTGAATATGTTCTGATAGTTTTGCTATATAGCAAAACTGTTACTTTTTATAATGTAGCAGTTAGCCAGTCATTCAGATAACTTCCTATGCTCATCTTGTAATCAGTGAGTGAGTGACAAGACCAACAAATACCAAAATTTAACCAACCAATCAAAAAGCACTACTTTAGAATTCTTTTTCACTAGTGATTTACTAAGCATTCTAAGATCCGAATTCGAGTTATGCGTGCCATTTCACAGAAGTAAATGGTGTCAGAGGTGGGAAGAGGGGTGGTTGTGGGCTTATAGAAATATCGATTTGTCCTGAGACCTGACTTAAGACCCATGAATATTCCTCAGAGAATCAAAACCATTAAAGAAGAGACGCTCCAGGGAGATAGTTACACCTTTTAAACAAATAGACTAGTGAGAATTCTGTTCACTGGTATTATCGAAGACTGTGTTGGAAGATAAGATGCTCGTAATGAATTTCAGAAATAATGTTTACCTCTGATCAATACAGAAGATGTGATTACTTCTTTAGATTAGTGAACAGCTAGCTGTCCACACTGCACTGCATGAGATCCAATATTCTAGTACATGTGGTACAGACTTGGGAATTCACTCTATGCAAACAAGGCAGATATCCAGACAATGATCGTAGAATTAAGGTTTCAGCGATGAAAGTAATTAAAAGTCATTATTAAGGCCTGAAGGTGTATCCAGTTTACTGTGCCTCTTATACAAACAAGCTTTCACTTTGACTGATCCCACCCTGTACAAGTTCTTGTTAAGAGTGTATCTCATCATGAGTCAATGTACGTCATCATATAAAAGGTTCTATACATTATAACTCAAGAATTGGATTGAAATCGTAGAACACTGCTAATCTAGTGATGACTGTTATCAGGGAAACTGTGTGTTCTAAGGGAAGTGTGTGCGAGTGGTTCTTACTTCTCGGTTGTCCACTGTATAGAAGGCGGTTTCCTCTTGGGGTCCATGAAACAGAAGGATCATTAGTGCTGCTTGACAGAGGTGGCCAACGAGCAACTGCCTGAGACCGGTCATAATCGGTCTGATTGAGGTTGATTTCAGTAGTTGAGTTCGTATCAGGTTCTTACTAGCGAACAAAAGATAGCTTCAGGGTAAGTTGGGATGTACCATTTTCGTGGTCGACCCTTCCTAACCTCAGTCCCTAGAGTGGAGTAACAGAGTAACTGTCGTGCTGGTCATCTGAGGGAAACACTTTACTGCTGTTACATCCTTGTTCGTCAGTTGTACGACTTCAACCACAGACCCTTGACATTGAGAAAAGGAATTACATAATGATAGTAAGTGTTTTTAGTTTAACTATCACCCAAACGACATTTCCGGTGTGGTCAAACTTTTCTGGACATTAATTGTTTTGAGTGTAGTTCGTTGGGTCAATGAAATACAGAAGCCCGCCTAATACGTCGAGGTATCAGATATCAGTCACAATGAATATTATCGATCTTCTTTATTTCAGTATATGGGTTATTTTCATTGGAGGAAAAATTCACAGGCAGTGGCACACTTTCCTTATGGTGAGTAGAGTGACAATTCAATTTGAAGAATAGATTGAAATGACTATTGACGAATGAGTTGACCCCAATGAATTCTGATGCGAATAGCACCATTTCCATGTTGTTATATGCAATTAGATGGAAGTCATTCAGCGGAACGAAGTGACGGTCGATGAGCTGTATCTAGATGTAATCATTGTAATATTGACAACATTCACCAGAACTTATGAAGTATTTACTAACTTCACAAAAATCATTCAAATTCTACAACTCGACAGGACAATAGGCTTCTCAATTTTTGTACATCCTAAATAAGTGTTCCACTGGACAGATAAGGAGCCAGCAGTAATAAACGACTGAATATCATGGTTGGGATTTGTGTGTGTCTTGTAGTAACTATTAAACAGGTCGTGAACACTAACTAGACTTCCATCCATTCAGGCATTGAGTCTGAATCCCATTCCATCTACTTCCGCCTGAGTAAATATCGTCATCTGTAACGCACAATGAATGTGACTTACGGCTTGATACAAGAGAAACCTGTACTGGGTGAGTGAGTTCAATTCTGAGTCACAAATTCGACTGAGTATAAACAGTAGAAGTAGATAAGTGGGAATTTTAAATCACAATATATACTAGTCATCATAGTGTATTCATTGTAAGGAAGCGTATTTCAATCAACGTGTAAGTACGGGGGCACAAAGAAAGGTCTCTATCAGATGTCAAATGAATCAGGGATTAATAGAGAAAATATACTAACTTATTAGTAGTAAAGCATTTGATATTCGTGGAGACAATTCCGTAAGTTCACTTCATCATATTGACGCTTGAGCGG